AATAAACCAACAATACTCAGAAAGTCTTGAAGGAAAGCAAATAGAAGACTTATGGGACATCATAGAGTTGAGCATCAGAAAGGCTGCAAACGCAACCCTTCCAAAGAAAAAGAAAATACCAGAAATCGAAGAAAGGGGTTCTATATCAAAAGTCCTAGCGAAACAAAGAAAGGATATATGGAAGCTGGGCAACTGGTGTAGTAAGTTCAAACATAACAGAAATTTAGAGAAAGATAAAATTTGCATAAAGAAAGCTCAAGATCTGATAGATGAGATACAAATAAGATGGAAAATAGAAAGACCCAGTAATGATATAGAAGCCTCAGAGAGCTGGAAAAAAAACCAAGAAACACTTATCTATGAAGAAATAGAAACATGGTGGAAAATATTATATAAAGATTGGAAGCGAAGAAGAGAAAAGGCAGAAGAAGAAGAGATTCAGAACTGCATAGAAGCAAGATACAGTATGATTGTCTCAGACCAGAGAAAAATGATTAATAGTCTTCTCGAAAAACCACATAGAAGTATTAAAATAGATTGCATACTGAAAGAAGAAAATGGGAGGGTGGAACTCTTAACAGAAGAGGAAGAAGTCTTGGAGAAAGTAAAATCTCACTTTGAGAAACAGTTCTGAAAAAGAAAAGTGGATCTCAAAAGAATGAATGGAAGATAGAAAAGAATATACAGTCCGGCAGAAGAAATCAACATAGAAGACTATAAGGATCTAGAGCAGGAAGTAACACCAGAGGAATGGGAAGAAGCTCTTAAAAATACAAAAAACAAATCAGCACCAGGGCCAACAGGAATTTCATATCCTTTGCTTAAAGAAGCGGGAAAAGAAGCAAAAGTACTTTTTAGAACATTGGCAAGCAAGTGCTTAACATTAGGTATAATGCCCAAAAAATGGAAATTAGGCATGCTATACCCAATTCCTAAAAGAGAAGATTGGTGTTATAATCTGAACAATGTGAGACCCATCCTGCTGCTAGAAACATTTCGTAAAACAGTAGTCAGAGTTTTGAATACAAGACTGAGTCGAATCCTAAAGGACAAAGGAATATTAAAGGGAAGAAATTTCGCAGGTCTATCAGGAGAAGGAACCGCAGCACCAATACATCTAATCAACTGTCTGCTAAAAGACGCAAGAGAACAGAAGAAAGAAATATAGTTACTTTTTCAGGATATGAAGAAGGCCTTCGACTCAGTTAGTATAAAGATGCTAGACTTAGCATTAGAAAGAATCAAGTTACCACAAGCCACAAAGAACTTCATCTTACAGCTCTACTACAAAAGAAAAATAAAAGTAATAACAAGCGTGGGAAATACAGAGATATTCATTGCAAAAGATGGCATAGACCAAGGAGAGGTCATCTTACCTTTAGTATGGAGAATTTTCTATAATCCATTACTAGTAGCGATCCAGGAGCAGAAAAAAGCAGGACATCGAATGGTAGTAGAGTGGCCCAAGAATATTAGAAGCAACACGATTCAACAAGAGAGTTTGAAGATAGAGGTAATAGCATATGCAGATGATACTACATACATAGCAAGCACCAAAGAAGACTTAGAAAAGACGATAGAAATAGCAGAAGAGTTCTACAAAATTAATAATATAGAGATAAATCCAAAAAAGTTAGAACTGCTAGTTATAAAGCCAGGAAAAGAATATAAGAAAAGTGTTAAAAAGATTAACTTCAGCCCGAATAAAGAAGTGGTAATAGGAAAAAGAAAAAAAGATCTTACACGCTTTCTGGGAATATGGCTAGCAGCCAAGAATAGATACAAGCAAATTGAAGATATTATCAAGAATGAAGTATATACAGTAACAAAGCAAATTAGAAGGAAGAAGGCCTCTCTAGCACATATGGTTTACATAAACAATATGGTTCTTCTACCAAGAATAGAATTTAGAGCACAGTTAAAAATCCTACCAAAGTAACGATGTGACCAACTTCAAAGTCCAATACTGAAGTTAATTAAGAACAAAGCTGGAATGCCAAGCACTACACTGAATGCAATGGTAATGCACAAAAAGATAGTAGGTTTACAATCTATATAGCAACGGCAAGTTGCACACCACTTTACAGAGTTGCTCGTTCGTCTAAACAATGAACAAGAAGTAGGGATAGCAACATGGCTGTGGCTTAAGAAAGCACAAATCGACCTAAGAAGCTACAAGTGTGTTTTAGAACTAAATGGAAACAACTTAAATGAACTTAAATTACAAAACAATTTAAATGTGCAGGTATTAAAAAAGGCCAGAAAATTAAACATTTCATTTCGTTCAGAAGAGATTGAAAAGAACCTCAAGCTAGCAGAGGATGGGACCGAGTTAGTAAGCATTCTGAAGGAGGAAGACAAGCAAAAATTCCTCCAATATAAAAACTACAATATTTTCATTCTAGAGCAGCTGCTTGACAGCAGTGGCACAAAGATGATCACATGGAAACAAATGAAGATGTGTAGAGGAACAAAAACGAAAGGAGAGAAGGCAAAGTGGTTCCAAAGGTTAGAAGATGAAGTAATTGAATATAAAAGAACAAGGACAATTAAAAGAAAATACCAGAGAGCAGAAAGAAACAACATGAGCTTAAAGGCAACTTTAACTGAAATTAAGTCAGACCAGAGACTTAGAGAATGGATTCTGCTCGAAGAAGGTAAAGGTGCCCTCGAATTTGGCAAGATAAGAAGGAAATATGGCAAGGAAAGAAGAATACTCATTGTAGAACATTGGACAAGAGCAGTAGAAAAGGAAGAAAGCAAGATCAGAATACAACCATGCAAAGGCTGTCACAGAAATGAAGGCGGAAGAGATTCGATGCAGTGCTCATTCACACAGAATTTCAGAAGCAACAGAAGAGTAATAAAGAAGAATTGAATCAAGAAAGCAGCAGATAGTTCAAAGACTTTTGAAATTGAACTTAGCTCAGAAATGTTAAGCTAGAAAGAAGGAACGGAAATCAATACAGAAAAAGCAGAACATAGCCAAGAATTTCTATATGAGATCAAAATAGGACCTTTATCTAAAGATCTGATTAAGAATCAAGTCAAGGAGAAAGAAAGACAAGAGGATTTGATTACAATTGCATGAGAACTGCAAGATGTGAAAAGAATTAGTTTTTATACAGACAGGTCATTATACAAAACAGAAGGAGCTGATGGTATACAAAGGCTACAGATGGGTGCAGGATGGGTAGCAATTAAAAAGAAGATGAAGAGAAAAGAGCAAGTTTTAGCTGCACATTTAAAGATTGGCCTTCCTCAACAAGAGCAGAGTTGGGAGCTATTTGGACAGCATTTTTAGTGACACCAGAAGATGTAGAATTGACAATTTACACAGATAGCCTGGCCGCCATACAAGCACTTAAGAATAAAGATGGAAAAGAAAAAGAAAGAGAAGCATTCAAGCTCAAAAATGCAGTCTTTTATGGCAAATTCAGAAGACATGAAAGTTAAAGAATCTCAAAATACGGCTGAAGAAAGTTAAAGGGCATAGTGGGGATATGCACAACGAAAATGCAGACAGATTGGCAAAACAAGGAGCAAGAGGGCAAAAAACGATCACAACAATATGGCCTTGGACAAGAAGGTTATGCATACTAGCAAGGTAGGGAGATATTGCAATAGATAGTCCAATGAGAGAAGTTGTAAACAAACTAGCTTTAGCTATTATAGATGCTGAATGGGCAAATTTAAATAGAAATAGTAGATAGTTAAATAGAAAAAAAGAGAAGGAATTAGATTGGAGAGAAACATAGAGGTGGCTAGATAAGAACAAGAGCAAAATGAGATTAATTTTTTGGACTCTTTTAATATCTGTATATTTAAATTGTTTTGTAATTTAAGTTTGTTTAAGTTATTTTTGTTTAGCTCTAAAACACACTTGTAGCTTCTTAGGTCGATTTGTGCTTTCTTAAGCTGCAGCTATGTAGCTATTCCTACTTCTTGTTCATTGTTTAGACGAACAAGCAACTCTGTAAAGTGGTGTACAACTTCCCGTTACCATATAGATTGCAAACCCACTATCTTTTTGTATATTACCAGTGCATTTGGTATAGTGCTTGGCATTCCAGCTTTGTTTTTAATTAGCTTTAGCATTGGACTTTGAAGTTGGTTACATCATTGCTTTGGTAGGATTTTTAGCTGTGCTCTAAATTCTATTCTTGATAAAAGAACTATATTATTTATATAAACTATATGTACAAGAGAGACCTTCTTTCTTCTAATTTGCTTTGTTACTGTATATATTTTATTCTTGATGATGTCTTTAATTTGCTTGTATCCATTCTTGGCTGCTAGCCATATTCCCAAAAAGCAAGTAAAATCTTTTTCTCTTTTTTCTATTACCACTTCTTTATTCGGATCAAAGTTAATCTTTTCAACACTTTTCTTATATTCTTTTCCCAGCTTTACAACTAGCAGTTCTGACTTTTTTATATTTATCTCTATATCATTAATTTTGTAGAACTTTTCTGTGATTTCTATCGTCTTTTCCAAATCTTCTTTAGTACTTGCTATGTATATAGTATTATCTGTATATGCTATTACCTCTATTTTCAAACTCTCTTGTTGAATTATGTTGCCTTTAATATTCTTGGGCCACTCTATTACCATTTAGTGTCCTGCTTTTTTCTGCTCCTGGATCGCTACTAGTAATGAATCATAGAAAATTCTTCATACTAAAGGTAAGATGACCTCCTTTTAGTTTATGCCATCTTTTGCAATGAATGTCTCTATATTTCTCACGCTTGTTATTACTTCCATTTCTTTTTTATAGTAGAGCTGTAAGATGAAATTCTTTGTGGCTTGTGGCAACTTGATTCTTTTTAATGCTAACTCTAGTATCTTCATACTAACTGAGTTGAAGGCCTTCTTTATATCCTGAAAAAATAACTATATTTCTTTTTTCTGTTCTCTTACGTCCTTTAGCAAACAGTTGATTAGATGTATTGGTGCTGCAGTTTCTTCTCCTAGTAGGCCTACAAAATTTCTTCCCTTTAATATTTCTTTGTCCTTTAGGATTTGACTCAGTCTTGTATTCAAAACCCTGACTACTGTTTTATGGAATGTTTCTAAGAGCAGGATGGGTCTCACATTGTTCAGATTATAACACCAATCTTCTCTTTTAGAAATTGAATATAGTATGCCTAATTTCTATTTTTTGAGCATTATATCTAATGTTAAGCACTTGCGTGCCAATG